AGCCGCTGGTCGCCTGAGAACATGGCAGCCACATGAAACGATAGCCCCCTAATTAAAGCCCCGCAGGATGTTTTTGCTGTGACCACGGCCGACATCTCTGGCACTGGACGGCTGCTTTAAAGTGGATCCTAAAATACCGCACTATTAATGTCTCACGCTGCGTTCGTGTGTGTGTGTGTGTGTGTGTGTGTGCGTCACAGCCGGAGAAGAAGACTGACGTCAGCTGATCCCGTTACACCACGGAATCCTGGTCCTGCCACAAACTTCACCAGAAAATAGGATAAAAAAATTTAAAAAAACAGAGCGGTTTTACTCAAGTCAAGAGTTTCGTTAAAAATAAATAATTACATATTTATACACATGAATAAGGTGTTTAGAATTCAACTACTGTAGTTAGTTAGTTACCCTATCCAAGGGTAAATCCAAGAGCTGTTGGTGCTGTCACTTTTCCAACACTAAAATGCAGCCCTAAACCTTTACAGAGTCTCTATAAAATTTCTTGTTAATATTTGAGATTCAAAAAGATTCATGTTAATTCCAGAAGCCGATGTTAGCAGCATTAAAATGAAAAAAAAAAATTGTTACTTCCTTTAAAACTTTTATTCAGGCCAAATATACTATGAAGTATTTTGAAAATAATGTTAAATCTGGATTCCCAGTGTTTTGTGTGTACAGTGATGATGAGCTGTTTCATCACATTTGGACCTTAGAAGATCACAGGCCTTTAAACATAATCCAAATATAATCATGAAATCAATAAATCTTATCTTTTTATCTCTTTCTTTTCCTCCTGCTGCGTCATAAATAAAGGCCGGTGTCGTTGACAACGCTGCAGCGCCAACCACTACTGGCTACTTTCAGAAAGTATTTCATTTATCCCTCAGGGACATTCATGTTTTTGCAGGAGTTCAGCAACCAAAACACACACACACACACACAATAAAAAGAAAAACAGAAAATCATAAAAGTTAAATGTGAAGAACTGACATAAAAACCTGCAGGAAGAAAAACCACAGCTGTGATTTTACACAGGGAGACAAACACAGTCACGTTGTATTTATTAGCTACAGCAGCTACCAGAAAAATACGACTCAATAAATCAAGTAAATCAACAGCGTCAGTTATCACCGCGAGTCAATTAGAGAAATAATCTCTGTTTCATCAACAAGTGGGAATCTGAAAAAAAACACCGTTTAAAAAACCAGCGAGGACAAAATCAGAAAAAAACATTATTGATCATTTCTCACCACCAGCAGATGACCTCACCTGGTACAACCTCACCTGGTACAACCTCACCTGGTACAACCTCACCTGGTATTTAGGGACAAGGTGGGATCCAACCTACAACCTTCCACCCCCCTCCCTCCCCCCCCACTCTGTCCATGCAGGTCAGTCCTATCACTGTTGAACAAAATGTTCCAACACTTTACGACACTTGTTTACTGAGTACAGTGTGTGAGCAGAAGAGGGCGCTCACGTCAGCAGCACTTTCTCTAATTGTAAGTCATTTCCTGTGTTTTCGTGTACTCACTGGGGATCCGATCCCACCGCGGGGGTTTGTGCGTTAAACAAGCAGGGCATGAGAGAAGGGGGAGACGGGGGAGAAAGGTGAAAACAGGGAGATGCGATCACGAAAGAGGGTCGTGCATGCAGACAACAGCGCCCCCCAGCAGCTGCCTGTGGTGTCAACACTTGGTTCGGTGGTGGTTGGTTGGAGAAGAACGCACAGATAACCTCAAAGTCATAACAACAGCGTGGAGCGCTGATCCAATCAGAGCAGCCGCGTTCACAGATACACACCAGGAGGGGGGGCCGACCAGACAAAACAGACCTGCGGGGCACACACTCCACACGCCGTGAGACGGGCCGCAGCTAACAGGCTAACAGGCTAACGAGGGACGAGGACACGACGGAGACCAGTGATTGGTCAGATCGCAGCTCTAACCAGACTGGAGTCACAGAAGATGACGCTAACTCTCTCTCCCCTGCAGGTGGTGCTATAGAGCTCTCTCCCATCAGCTGAGCGAGGCAGTATAACATGTAATGTTTTTTTTTTAAATGAACTGCTGCAAGGCACGCTCACCTCCTAATTAGGCAGTTTTTGCTCGCCCCCTGGTGGTCGGCTGACTACTGGTTGAGAAAATGTTTAATTTCCTACACAGCAGAGATCATTTCTTAAATGTTAACATCGCAGACGATCGTCCTCATTTAACCGCGGCAGCCTAAATCGTGATAACATTTTTTTTTATTCCCGCAGCCTTTAGTATAAAAAAAACTCTTTTAAATGAAGTACAACAACAGTACTACTACACTGGTTTACTGCAGTACAGGTACTGTATGCAGTACTGAAGTGTACACTGACCTCGAGCCAAACTAAACACAGGCTGAGCTGCGTGTCCATTGTTGAGGAGGCTGAGACACTGAGTCACCTGGTATTAAAGAGTTCCAGTTTCCATTCACTACGGCACTGACAGCCATCAGAGAGAAAAACCTCAGGCTTAGAACCGTTACCGTTCATCTCAGGACCTGCAGCTTCAGCCCATTTGGAGAAAAGAGTTAAAAGAGCAGGTGGTGAAGACAATAAGAGTTCAGAACAACAGCAGGTCTCTGTCAACAGAGACGTCCTCAGACAAAAGACATGTTTAGAAAACGACGCTTTGTGGAGACATTTAAACCACAAAAAGACCCTGGTCAGAGCAGTGGAGCCGATCAGCAGCTTCCTCCAGGGCGGGTTATGAACCCATGTTGGACAAAAAAAAAAAAAATTCCTTTAGCTCCACCTCCTGGCCTGACTGAGTCTTAAACAGTTTTCTAAAGACAGAGGAGATGAATGTGTGTTGAGCAGCTCAGAGAGAATAACTTGTTTATTTACTCCCAGGTCGGCGGGTGATGGTATCAGACTCCCAGCTCTCAGTGCGGTCTAATAACAGCTCCTGGGACCAGAACTCAACTTCAAGTGTTTTCAAGTTCTGCTGCAGCCGTCGCTCAGAGCGTAACTGCCTGTAACGAGGTCTGCTCAGAGTAAACCGTCTCATCAGCCCAGAGTAACTTAATCACAAACAGCACGTCTGACCCTCGTGTCCCAAGTCTGGATCTGAAGTGCTGGAAATTGGAACTAAGCTGAACTAATTTGTCTTACTTTCCTTTTAAGTATTCCTTCTTGTTAAGCACTGAAACAAGTTCTGTTTTGATGCTCAACTAATTTGTCTTACTTTCCTTTTAAGAATTCCTTCTTGTTAAGCACTGAAATCAAGTTCTGTTTTGATGCTTTTATGTTGCCCAAAAAAAACAACAACATTGAGATCTCCAGACAAATTATCACCAAATTCAACAGATAGAACTTCATGAATCCCTGCAGAGTTCCCTCCTTAAGGAAACATTAGGGAATCAAACCTGGGCCGCGGCCAGGTGAGAACGCCGAATCCTAACAACTAAACCACCAGGGAATGATCGGTTACTTGAACTCTGTAAAATCACCAACTGAAACGGTCTGTGAACCTCATCAAGGGAACTCTGTAAAATCACCAACTGAAACCTGTGAACCTCATCAAGATTCAATAACAGAAACTCATCACACATCACCACTGATCTGCTCTGATTAACAACAACAGAAAAAAAAACAGAACTATCCCTTTAACGCACTCTTTGTTATTTGGATTTCCTGGAACAGCCCACCGTTTGAAGAGCGGCCAGAACTTATTTTCTTGGCTCCCTGAAAGAATGTAAAGCAAGCCTCTGTATTTTTTCGTGGATCGTGCATTCTCAGCAGCAATGATGAAAAGTTGGCCGCGGTCCTGAACCAATCAGACGTCGTCTCTGAGACTATTGATCCCACTGCCATGGGCTCGGCTTTGGCGTTCTTTGCTGATTTAATTGGCTCCTTTTATAGACCAATTACACAGTGCGACGTCGAGGGAGCGGCCGTTTAATCACCTCTGAATTATAAATAGGACAGAACCGCGGCGTGCAGGAACTTGAGTCTCAACCTCAGCTCGTCCTTATATTTCCAGAACCTTTTGTGAAAATATGTTGGTACACAGACTGGGACACTTTACTCCAGTCAGACACACAGCTCCGCAGCACTTCTGGCTGATTCACCAGATGATTTGCTGCTGCTGCTGCTGCTGCTGCTCCCGACCATTTCCAACATGTCAAGGTGAGAGAAGCTGCTGCTGCTGCAGTCACAGCTGGAGGCGCAGCATGGGCTCGCAGCCTCAGTAATTACACCTTTGAAGTCCAGGAAGCTTCTCTCTTCCAACCACACACTTGAGACGGGCCCAGAAATCAAGCAGGACCTAAGCCATGACAAACAATGCACCGGGAAGAAGCTCTTTGTTGAATAAAAGTCGACAAAAAAAATCAGACCTGCAGCCATATTGATATAAATCATCAAAACGCCCCTGAGGACAAAAATGGTATCGCCACCAGGAAGTAGTTTAAATGAAACTCTCTTGACATCAAATGATATTCAGCTGCTGTGGTTCAAAGTGACATCAATTAGAACGATAATAACAACAGTCGTTTAAAGGTATTTAACGAACTGAGAGAAGTCGTAAATCTTCTTTTTTTTTAATTGTTAAATGGTAAACCAAATGAAAAATGTAAAATACACAAACACACGCAACAGTTATTGCTTCACTGTTTAACCAACATTAGGGACAATCACTGCCCTGCAGGTGGTGCTATGACTTCAGTAGGAAGGACAATCACTGCCCTGCAGGTGGTGCTGTGACTTCAGTTGGAACGTCCAAGTCCAGTAGCATGGTTGGGTATTGATCTTCTACTGTCTACGACCTACGGTTCAGTCCAACACTGACACACTTACATCCACAGTCAACAGTCACTGGGATCAAACCAGCGACTCTCTCACTGTACGGCAAGAGCACTAACCACTTCTCAACCAGTGAGGCCTGACAGACGAGCATTAACACGATCTGGTGTAAATATGTAAATATATATTTACCTCTATAACATAAACCACCAACATCTAAAAACCCAACTCCATGTCACTGTCATAAAGGTTCTGTGGGACCGGACAGACCACCGTGACTCGGGCTTTATTTGGAACCATACATGCAGTCACTGGAGCTTTTCAGCAAAGCTGCCTCCGAACAAAGAATTAACGGGAGCCTGGGATTTGGCCACGGAGGCCAAGTGGATCCATTTTCTGTGCTGGTCGGTCGGAGCTATGGGAACGGGCCGAGCCATGAAAGCCCTCTCTGTGGCCAAACCCCAGGTTCAGTCCAGTTCAGTCCAGTTCAGCTCAGCTCAGTCGCTCACCTTCCTTTCTCTGCTACACTTTCTAATCCACCCCGCCCCCGACACACTCGACAACTTTTACTGCTGCTGCTCTGGGTTTAATGACCAGGTTTACATTACAACACTGATTTCCCTGAAAAAAAAAAAAAAAACTCCTGTGCCTTTGTGCCTTTCTACTACCTTGTAATGAAGACGTGAACCAGTGAAGACGCCAGGGTTTCTGTTCAGTGGATTTATGTGCACAGGTAAGTCCGCGGGTCAGTTTTCCTTCCTGTTCTCCTCTGGTTTCTTGAAGCCAAAGTTCCCTAAAAAGGGGGCTTTCATACCGAGGTCAGAATCCGTTTCCAGCCCAAATAGGAATTCAAGATGGTCTCTTGAAGCCCACGGCCAAGAAGAATGAGGAGCTTAAATGTTTCAGCACATGCACTGATGTGGTTTTATTAGTCTGACTTCAGCTTTGGGATATTTTGGTAAATTATGAGCATATTAGAGGCCATTAAAATAGCTGAGGGGCTGAATGAATCTTCTTAAAAAGGTTCAAGAGTTTTCTACTGCACTTGAAGCATCATTCAGACCCGGAATAGATTTTATGATTTAAAAAAAAAAAAAATTTATATGATAAGGAATAGATTTTATGATTTAAAAAAAAATATATTTTATATGATTGTCATAAAAATCCCCTGTAGGATTTTGCCAAAATCCACAGGACTGGAAATAACATCTAGAATTTGTAAAGTTTATTTGAATCTGATCTACAGGTTTTGTCATAACACTAAATTATTTCAACTGAATATTATTTATATTATAGATGATTTAATAATTACTTATGGTGGTAAAAAAAAAACATTTAAAAAAAAAAAGCCAGAGGGAACGACATGACCCTGATAACTGTTATTCACACCGAGCCGTGGCCTACAATTTGTGCAACATTCCCTTCAAAGAAAGTCATAAAAGCAAATGTTGTTAGTTCAACAACAGTCAATTAGACGGCGGCTCCAGTGACACGGCTCTGATTGGTTGTCGGCTGTAATTTCAGAGGCTGTGTGCAGCCCTGGTTGGAGCTGTCAGAGGGACAATCTGATGGAGGAGGGAGGAGGCGAGCCTGCGGGGGAGATTTACAGTACACTCCCAAATGTCACCCGATATTAATACTCTCCGTTGTCTCCTCGTCTTTTGTCCTGCCCAGACACGCCAAAACATTTTTTAAAGGAGGAGAGAAGAGGAGAGAAGGAAGTGATAGGAGGACGGGGGGGAGGGGAGGAGGGTGTGAGGAGGGAGATGATTTTGTTTCCTTGATTGCTAATGTGCAGCTAATAAAACTAACTTTCACATGAGAAACATGAACGACTGCAGCTGATCGACAGGTTCAGAAGGTCATGACTTATAAATTAAATCATCGATACGTAGTTTTGATGCAGAATAAAATGTTAAATGTGAGTTTCTGAAAGGGTTTTTTTTCTTCATGAAACTCCTGCTTAAAAAAAAAAAGAAAAAAAAAGAAAAGCAAGCAAAAGAGAAAACCCCACAAATCTGGCTGACATACTGTATATTTAAGTCATTAGAATCAAAACAAGACTGAACACTGGTGTGAACTGCACCGTGCTGCTCACTCAGACCTCTAATTCATCAGGTCTGACGTTTACTGTCAGTGAAGTCGGTGCACGGGCTGCTAACAGCTAACTGCTAACAGCTAACAGCTAACACAAATACTTCTTAAAGTGAATCTGAAACATCTGAACGACTGCAGCGTTAATTCATTCATAATAAACAGACTGTGAAACGACTCTGTGATTGTCACAGGGAGGGGAGAAAGTTCCCGTCAACAAAGACGAGAATCGTCTGGAGCTGAGCTCCAGTGTCGTCAGCGTCAGCAGCAGCAGCAGCAGCAGCAGCAGCAGCAGTCCCAGCTGTGAACTCAGCTGAAACAACTGTTATCTGCCCCTGCTGACTCACTACTGCCTCCAGACAAACTCCTGTTAATGACAGGACTTTCCCAGGTGATTTTCAGTCTCTACCACTGGGAGTTCTGTCTATCTAAATTATTAGGTAGCTACATTTTGGGGCTAATAATTTGTGGAACGATTGTTTCACTCTTGACAAGTCTTAGTTGAAGAAAAAAAAAAGTCACAATGACCACAGTTGGATGTACCGTGAAAACCTTTGATCGTGATTTACTTTGAGGCGTTTGAGCTCCGGGTCTTTGAAGTTAAAGTGTGTGTGATTTTTATAGTATGAATAAAGAACAACTTTGACTTTAACTGAGGGGCAAAAATGTAGGTTCTGTATGAAGAGTTTTCTAATTGGTAGCTTGTGTTTCTGGGGGTGTACAGCCCCACTGAACAGTGTGACTATTCACAGTGAATCCTAGGGCTTGTTAAAACACAGGAGAACTTACCCTCCACCATCAGCATGGGTTCCTTGGCTCCACCGTGTGCCAGCATCTCCCGGCGGTAGCGTTCTCCCATGTCCCTGAAGAAGAGCGAGGGAGGGAGGGAGGGAGGGAGAGAGAGATAAGATTACAGACACCTGTATTCTCCCCCGTCGGCTGCTGCTGCTGCTGCCAACACTCAGAGCCGGGGGCAAAGTTTCCTAAGCTGCCTGTTGTCAACAGTGCCATGAGATCTGAGGAGTGGAGGTAAAGACTCCGACTGAAACTATGGCAGAAATAAGGACGAGACAAGACCAGGAAGTGATGCTGCGACCGCATCATCACGTCTGCTCCTGCTGTTGGATAGACAGTTGTTTACAGTCGTCTGTAACTGTCTGTGTCCTCTGGTCCAGGTCACTGGACCCGGGGTGAGAATCATGTCATGTCAGAGAATTTATTCAAGAGTAGAAACCAAGAGAATCCTGAAAAGGCTGTTAATCTGAACCAAACAGCCAGTCGTAATTATCGCAATTATTGTAATTATTTAATTATATATGATGTCTTTTTATTTATGAAATATTATTTAAAATATTTTAATACAATTATTTTCAGTAGTGGAAAAGTTTTTTTTTTTTCAATCATCGTGGTGTTCAGTTATTGATGGGCTGGATTTAAAACAAACTCTGAACAGAACTTTAAGCAGCAGATCCCTGACCTCAGATTAGGATTATTACATCACTAAACACAGGGATCCATCACTATGAGCTATTTATAACAGAAACTCCTGGAGCAGAGATAAAGGTGAGTCTCCCTGTGATGCTGTTCTGGGGGCTCAGGTGAGTTTTTTTTTTTTTTCACTGTCAGACAAGTCTTTGCGTTTTTGTTGGCAAAACACTGTCGTTTGTTGAAAATCACCTGAGGCTTTGACCGTATCGACCGTATTTTTCCTTCCTCTGTTATTACTAATAAAGGTGTTTTTTTTGTTTTATTCTCACCTGTTCAGAGGATCCTGAACGAAGCACTGTCGCCACACCATCGACGCCACGGCCCGCGACAGGAGGTAGGAGTAATACTTGGCCCCGTAGCCAATCAGGTGGCTAAATCTGAGCTGCCACGCCTGTTATAGAAATGAAAAAAAAAAAAATCATCACCTTGGCTCCAGTGTAAAGTATAAACAGGGACTTACATTTAAAATCCAGCCATAAACAGGTACTGACACAGTCGAGGTGACGGCAGAAATAAACCAGTCTTAACAAAACGCTGTATAATTAACTCTTCACTGTGAATTAAATCTGACACATGCTGTATATACATATACACAGTGTAGAGTTTAGTGTAAACAGTATGTGACATTCTGCTGAGTGTAGGTTTATAAAAGTATTTTCTGAAATAAAAAAACAAAAAGAGAAACACTGCACTTTCAAAAGGCAGAAAGATGGAAAAAGACATGGACATTTTTAAACATTTATAAAGGCAAACAAAAGTAAATGTTGTTGTGGTAACCAACGTAAGTTAACTGGCTCCATTTCTTTACCTTTACAAAGATCCAAACAACAGTTGTAATGTAACTCCAATGATACAGTGTTGCTTTGAAAAACAGGTTAGCAGGATTAGCCTAGCTTAGCCAGCCGTGGATAAAGCTGTCTTTTTAAAATTAAAAAGAAATCTGTGTAAAAATGCAACTTTTGTGACAGAATTAATTTCCTTGATGGTTTATGTTAAGAATAAATGTGAAAAGATTTCAAAGTGGAGCTAAATAAACAGTAATTTTAACCAAAAATGTAGCTACTCTCCACTTTTTTTTTTTTACAGCAGCTAGCACAGCATCACTACTACACCAGCCAATAATCTCTCTCGTTCAGATGTGTCCATCCCAGGGTAGATTTGTTTTGTATTTAGTGAATAGGTACTAATCTTCAAACATAAGTGTTTCATTTTGACGGCCTTGACTAAGTCAGAGGATTAGAACTAGACCAGAACTTTAGAACTGTGTTCTTAGCACCTGCTGCTAAAGGTGACACAGCTTTTGTATTTCCATACTGGTGATACTGACTACAGTACTAAAAAACACATGAGCTAATACTAATAAAATTATGAAGTTAATAAAATTTAATCATCTTTCATCCAACAGACAATTAAAAAACACACACACATTAGCTGCTTAGCATGGAAATTCCTAAAAAACCCGACCCCCCTCTCAGTTGCCTGAGGGGGGGCCTCCTCGTATCTATAAAGACAAGGCCTTTTTGATCTTCGGCACTGTGGACTGAGGGGGAATTCAGCTGGCAACCACTCAAACATTTAGTTCGTTTGAAGAGACAGCTGCTGCTTCTGCGGCGTCAGTAGCTAACGAACCTGAACGAGTCGACAGATGCCGTCCTGCATCATTAGCCGAAACGATTTCCTATTTCATTCATTCAATAAACTGCACATGGGACTTTGATGGAAATGTTAATGTACGTTTTAAAATGGTCACATGACTTTAACTTCAGGTAGGAACATAATAAATTTAACAAAAGGAGAAAATGACTGCAATTTTTTATGTGCTCTTTTCTTGTAAAACTGATAAAGGTTTCAGGGGAAAGAAAACGCCGCGGCACCGGAGCCAAGGATCAGTGATTAGAAAAAATGTCAACATTCTACCAGAACATTCCGCTCACTGCCATTTATTTCCAAATATTATCCTCAGTTCAAGGGTGAGCATGTGGTTTGTGTTTCTCACAGCTGATCCCTGTCTCCCCCTCACTCCCCCCTTGACTCCCCTCCGTCCACAGACAGACCTGTTAGCTCTGCTCCATAAACTACACATGTCAGTGTCACCCTCATGTTTATACTCTGTGTCTTCACGTTAGCTATTAGCCACTTCAGAACGCTCGCTGTGGAAACTCTTCCTGCGTCGTGTTTCCACGAGTAAAAAAAAAAAAGTTTTGAGTTTTAACGTTGAGATTGAGCTGAAGCTGTAACTGAAGAAGCCTGAACTCTCTGGTTACAGCTGCTCTGATCCAGCGATGACAGCACCGCAATCATCTCCGGCTTAAATGAGGAAAGAGACGGCGCTGTGGTCAGATGTGCACACGGAGGTGAAGAGTGTGTGAGAGAGTGGGGAAACTGCAGGACACCGACCACAGACCTCGGAGAGTCGGCCAAGAGGGAGGGCACGGGTGCAGGAGGGGCAGAACGTTAGCGTTCCAGCAGATCAGAGATCTAACCTTCTGATGGCACAGACCATAATTATATCCTTGGAGTAAATACTGAAGGGAGGCCAACACTGGCTCAAGAAAAGAAGTTGGTTCTCCTTCATTTACTGAGCCACAGCTGCTCAAGTGTGGACCGGGACCTGGAGGTTTTTATTATAGGGCTGCGTTACTGGAGCAGGACTTCAAAAACCACTTTAATCCTTTAAACACTGACGCTGCTGCCGTGTCTCTGTAAATAATATAAAACCTAAAACTGACAGAGGGAATAAATACAGAGGGAGAGGAGAGACAGACACTGCTGGAGAACCGGACGGTACCGTGTTGGGTGTGTGAGGCAAGCCGTAGAATCGCTGCTGCATCTCCTTCAGGACCTCTGTGGTGGAGCGGTTCTGAGGTTGGCTGTGATAGACCTGGTCCAAGACCGCATAGAAAATCTGCATAAAACAAAAAATGTACAAAAACAAAAATGACTACCCACAAACTTTATCCTTTTTTTTTTACTGCAAAAACTGCTATAAAGAAAAGAGATTTTTTCCCTCTGTAAAAGCCATTTAAGCATCACTGTTTACATAACATTTGTCAGATTTCTGAACCATAGGCCTCAAACATGAAGAAACGTTTATTATCAAAACAAAATCCTCTTTGTTTTCTGTAATCAATTCAGGAAGTGGTGATATAGACCTGTGAATTCCCCTCTGTGGGACTAAACTTTTTTTTAAGGTTCTGGATTTTCTTAGACTCCAACGAGAAATGAAATCTGTAATTCGACAATTTCTTACATAAAAAAAAAAACTTCCTTAAATCTAAGAAAAAGATACATTACATTTGCACTGAAAAAAACACCAAAAATAGGAGTTGGGATTAGAATTAGAACCGGATTAGGGTTAGGAGAGTGTGTGTGTGTGTGTGTCTAGACTGGACTAACTACTGTACCTGCAACTGAGTGTCTGCTGCTCCACACACCTTCTTGGATTCACACAGTCGAGCCACCATGCTCTCAGGCAGCGGCTGAACACAGAATAATAAAAATTTAAAAAATCATCTCAGATCATCACAGTCAAAATCCAACCTTTTTACGGTACGTTTACCTGTCCGGTTTCATAATGTCGTGCAAACTGCCTGATGACTCGATAATCAGTAGCAAAATACTCCATGAGTATGGAAGGAACTTCAGCAAAGTCAGTAGCACACCTGGTTCCTGGAGCACAGATATAAATATAAAGAACAAGGAAAACAGCAGTCACTTCAGATCTACTGTGTCATCACAATCACAACGTTGACCTACAGAAATTAAAAACAACTTTGCCGCATTTTAGAGAAAAATATTGTTTTGTTAAAATATGTTTTTCCTCTGATATGAGTAAAAACCTGCTTTAACATTTTAGTGCGGCATTTATTATAATTACAGCTTTCATTTTGCCCTAAATGTGAATGCATATTGCTGCCACCTGCTGGACGGGAATGGGATAAAGTCCCAAATAGCTGCAGGACAATGTGGATCAGTACAAAAAATTAAGATGGCGTCTGTGATATGATCTCAGCAGCAATATGATGAAGCTTGGAGTTGAGTTTTATTTTGTGTATAATCCAGCAGTTTTGTCCGGCTGCAGTATTTAGTTTTTATTCACGGCTCACCTGTGACGAGGCAGCCTGAGCATCAGTACCCCCACCGGCAGCTGGTACTGACCCGTCTCTGAGCACCAGCGGCCGCCCCTGATGGTGAAGTGACAATCCTGGGGAAGTAAAAATGAGGACGGTACATCAGTAAAAGGCAACTCTGTTCACTTTTGAATGTTATTTTGTTTCACTTCATTTGAAGAGCTTGACATTATTACAAACCTGGTGAGGTTTATTTGAGCGCTGGAAAAAGTCACAGTAGATATATCCCAGTAATCCCTCCGTCTCATGCACCACGGCCTGGAGACACAACCACAGGACACACAGGTTAGGACAGAAAATATTACTTGGACAGGACATTGAATGAAGTAAACAGCAGCATCACAATACAAGGATAACGGTACAAATATCGTGAAATATTGCGATACCACAGGCAGGACGAACATTTGGAACAGAGGGATCACTGTATCGATATATTTTCTTACACACTTATTACTAACCAATTAAAATAAAGAGATTAATAACAATGTTTTCTAGCACCTTCTACTCTAACAGCTCAGTCCACCGGAGCACAGTGTTGGGACTAACTGAGAGTCAAGACAGACTCTTGCTCGGGGGGACGTCTGTTGGCCACAGCTAAGAGAGAAAAATTTGTTACAAAAAAAATCATTTTTGCAAATGATCTTCTGGAGTCCCTGCCTGAGGGCAGACATTCCTCGTCGATGTCAGAAGAAGCTCTGCCAGATGATTGACAATAAGTTTTAATTTAGCAACAGAAGACCAACCTGGTGATAAGTGGTTCAGGTCGGAACATTCTGGAGGGTTTCAGTTGGAATATCAGGTTTTTCATGTTTCACATGAAGGAATTTAAAAATGAGACCAACAGGAAAATAAACTATTAGAATAAAAACAAACAAACGAACAAAGAAGCAGTGTTTGTGTGATTTACCAGTTTGCGGACGTCCTCACTCCACACCTCTCCAGCACTGGGCTGCTGGGACACGAGGGAGACGCCGTAGAGCTGAGAGAAGAGGTTGTTCAGACCCTCCATACAGGCTCCCAGAGACAGGTAAGGACTGTACAGACTGGGCTCGATGTTGTACCTGACGGAGAAACAACAGCGACACGACAGCTTTGAGTGATGAGGTCAGAAGGTCGTTGAGTGAACGGCCAATCACCAACCAATCAGAGACAGACTATAATGTCCAGTACTGGTTCATACGTGATAGAATAAAGTTGACAATAAAATAAAATGTATGTTTACACATTTATTTAGTTGATAAAATAACAAGACAAACTTATTGTCTGTTGTTGTTTCACATGTTGACAGTTAACCAGGTCAACCAGACCAGACCAGTTTGACCAGTTTAATCAGAGCAGATCAATGGGGATGTTCCAGTGTTTCTGGAAAATAAATGTGACTTTTTTTCCCACTCCTGTTATTGAAGAGAACAGTGTCAGTTGATGAGGTTCACAGACCATGTCAGTCTGTGATGGGATTTGACAGAGTTCTGACAAAGAAATGATCAGTGGATTTGGTCACAGTTTGGTGACAGTTATTATAAATGCACATTAATGTGTGATATTCACGATTAACCTGGTTAAAAAGAATACTGACTGAAGATTTGTGGCCCGTCCCATATTTTGCCTAAACTGGAGTTCTCTTAAATTTCAGGTGAAACTGGTGTTCATTATAAAGTCAATATAAAACCTATTGTATAACTTTGTTAGAAGAAAAAAAAAAGCATTGTCCAAAAATTCTGTGGTTTGATGAACTTATCACGTTTCTGGGAACAGAATGATCCGAGCCTCTAGTCTAGACCTTCACAGCAATATTTGGCATAAAACGTAATACGAGTCAGGGTTAAATATCAAATAATGCAACGAAGAGGAACAAAAGAGGAACCACAGAGCAGAGCAGCAGATAATGATTTTACCAGCGTGTTGTCCTGACTTAGTAATGTAACACGAGAGACGACTCAGACAACTCCCATGCTTCTACCCTAACGCCCTTTGTATCATCTGTCACCTGAGGAAGAGTGCAGGTGTAATAACAACTTTTGATAAACAATATACCCCTCAATGTGCCTTCATCAAATGACAGCAGTCTGGAGAAGAGTGAACGGCCGACACTCACCTCTCAGCACGCAGGACACCACTGAGGAAGGGGTGATCCCAAGGCATGAGCTCCTGCAGCAACAATAATCATTTTAATCATGTTATATTATTTTGACCGTCTGAGAAAAAAAGGTGAGTTTACAATAAAAGTATAAAAATGTTTTTTAAATAACTCACGGAATTGCGAGGGTTGAGTTTCTTCTTCATGTCACCCATCATTCTGAAGTCTTTTGCTGTTCTGTGACATAAAAGGGAAAAACATCAAAACACGTTTATTGACTGGAGGCATTCATTCCAGCCTTTACCCTGTTATCTTGACTCAGGGTCAAGGGGGGACAGAACTGATCCCAGCACGCATTCAGCTGTAGGCAGGGAAACACCCAGACGGGCTGCCAGGAGGAACGGCTGATTTAAAGCCACCTGGATGTTTCTGAAGTGGTTTTGGAATCCTGGGTACACGGGCCATGTATTTGTACAGGGTAAGACCAGAACCTGAGGCCATCGGAATGACTAGACTAAAACTGAACTAAACTCTGGAACTCAGGATCTCAGAAATCAATGTTGATTAAAAACAAAAAAAACAATCCAGAGTTTTTTATTTATTTATTTGTAATTTATTTTTTATGAAGTTATTAATCTCACACTGGGGGGAATTCTTGTGTTATCAGCAGATGTGCTTCAACAGGCTGCCCCTTGGAGGCAGTAGACATAAAGCACTGATTTAAAATAACTGGGAGGCAGTAGACATAAAGCACTGATTTTGTATGCAATTAAAATAACACTAATAATATCACAACGTTTTCCCCACTGTACTGTTAATGTACTTGGAACTAAAGCTGTGAAGAAGAGTGTACCTGTCTGTCAGTTTGTCCGTTAACATCTGAAGGAAGTTCATCACCGTCTCTGGAAAGAATCAACAACAACAGAGATTTTTATTACACCTACTGATACACAGAGGGAGGGGTACGTTTAAATTAACTAATGAACAGTCAAACATATTTATCCACATTTATCATCACAACATTATAGCACTGTTATTAAGGGTGAACAGTGATGGTGGACAGGACAGAGAACTGGTCACCTGGGGTTTTAGCCATCGTTCCCTTCAGGGCCCTGTGAGCGTACGACTCGTAGCCCACCAGTTTGGCCATCTTGTATCTGCACTTCAGCAGTTCTTCCAGACAATTCATTAAATCAGCATTAGGGTAGAGGAAGATCCTGTAGGCAATCTCCCGCACCTAAAAAAGTGGAACCACAAGACAAACGAGAGTCCAAGTTTGAGTTTATGTAACCATGGCGCCACCTGCTGCACACAAGGGGGAAGGCACAGTAAAT